TGTTGAGACAAACGTTTTCAGCCAGTTAAGTGCATTTCCTTGTATGCCAATATTATGGAGTTTTATCTAAAGATTTTCGTGATCAACACAGTCGAATGCCTTACTGAGGCCAACTAATTGTTTTTGTAAAGGTTTTTTGTACATTCCTGGAAATTTTAATATGTATAGCACTCTGAATATTTTTTCTGAAGTGTTATTTCAGTCAGAGGCTCATTGACTGGATAATTACGGATGTCTTCAATTTCAGCCTATCTGATTCAAGGAAAGCAAATTCAAGGTGGTCACATTTTCAAATAATGAATCAACACACTGATTTTAAATCAAGTCTGAAGACTGTATCAAGGAGAGAAACATACGTTTAAGGACTGAAATTTTGAAATATTCTCTCCCAACTTACATACACAGTAGGTTATGGTTAATACCTGCTGGAAAACAACTAATTCCCTGGCTAATACCACGCAGGATATTGAATTATATCCGACAGACATTTATGTAAGAAACCTCACAAAGGTTTGAAGAAGACTCTGAAACGACCTAATAGTTATATTGTCATCCTCATTGACAATATAAAAGAGGTGATCCAATAAACTATTAAATAACAACACAAAACAAAAAAGCACGTCGCATCTTCGATAACAGTGTGAGTATGAATGTTAAAGTGGACTGTAATACTTTTCATATTGATATTAAGTCCAATATATTTCGAATATGAATTGTTATGCAAGTTTGATATAAAATAATCATGTTCAAATAGTATTTCCATACTAATATATTATAATCTCAATGACTACTTACTTTATTTGAAATGAGTTATTTGTTCCCCTGTGGTCTAAGTCATGACAAAGACAAGCTATCATCAATGCAAGGCACTCTAAGGATCCCAAATATTCCCACCACCTCGTTGCCTGAAAATAATGCAGTTGTTAAAAGAATCCATTTAACTAATTGTACACATGTACACAAGTAGATATACGCGAAATAGATATACGCATTTTTTTCACTCACAAGTAATATTGAGTACATCATTTGGCCCACATTGAAAGCGTGTCTCCAGTTGTGGTAAGTAACATCTCTGTAATTTTTCTTAATGGATAGCAACCATCTACATAAAACATCGTAGTCTATATGGAAACTCTCTACCAGATCCAAGTCTATGAACATTCTCAAACAGGCCTGAAAATCAATATTATCAATTGCAGTAACTGGGTGTTTTAGGACATGAAACAATGTATATCATTTGATGGAGAAAATCCAAGCAACAAACCTTTGTAAAGGAAAGCAAGAAGTTCCTTCATCAACAAATATCAACTTACACTCAGAGTCTCATCGTCTTTCATATGGATATCATCGAAGGCAAAGTCGAGCAGTCCGAACTTGGTGTTTGATGGTACCTTGAGGTCCTGTGAATGATGAAGACATGGTGAGAATGACGAAAGAACACTGTAACTATAGTACATAAGAAAAATAGCGAATGATGCACTAGTCAGAAGCAAACACGATGTATTCAGAAACTAAATGATTGTTTTGAGTTGAATACCACAAACAATTTTTTGATTTGAAGCATTTTGAAACCATATGAAGTTAGTGATGAACGTGAAAATTATTTTATAACGCGGAATTGTTACAACTTTATACAAAGAAAACATCCTCTGGCTTATTTATAACTTATTGAAATAATTGACTGAATCACATTTGGGCAGACTGCTTCCTCTGCACATAATTGAATCAATGACAACATTTACCTAGACAAGTTTGATGAGCTCAAAAAGTAAATTGAAAAAATATGTGTCTATCTTTATTGTTACCATTAAATGATGATAGAAATTGTTCCGTTCTGCTCATCAAGGCAATCAAAGCTACACCTTGGAACCACTTAAAAACTTCAAATTTTGAAACTTCAAACTTTCGAGTTACACGATCAGTAGACCAAAGAAGGTAAGGGGTCACCTATAACGATCAAATATATTCTAAAGTATTCTAAAAAAACTTAATATTGTGATTTTCACTAGACAGTTTTACAAAAACGCAACACGTATTTCGCCATACAATGGCTTCCTCGGGCGTGTCGAGATTAAGACACGCCCGAGGAAGCCATCTTCTTTGAGAACGACGTTAGCAACTCTTCAGAATTGGATAAAGAAACTAGGATTTAGATTTGAAATAAATAACAAACATAAAGCAGTTATGGAAAGCAGAAGAAAACTAGAATTGTGTAATAAATGCTTAGAAGGAATAACTAAATATAGATGAGAACAACGGCAAATTTTCTATTTGGACGAAACTTGGTATGACACTAACGACACAGTTGCGAAAGGGTGGACTGATGGTTCGAAAATGTGTACGCCAAACAAGCCTGCAAACAAAGGATCGTGACTAATCACTGGGCATTGCAGAGGAAGTAAAGGATATGGAAAAAAATTGAGGACTGCAATGTTGACTATCATAAGAACATGGACGCTAATATTTTCTAGGAATGGTTTGAAAACACATCGATCCCAAATTTGGATGCAATGACATTTGACATATTTTTGATTACGATCGTCAAGTTTATCATAGAAAAAAGAACGACAATCATAGGTATACGTCACTGTGATTGGTGTCATCATGTGAATGTGGATCCACCCCGGTTCTACCCCGTTCCCTTCCAGAAATCTACCTCGATGAAAAAATGGCTTGTGGCAACACTGTAGCCACACCATCACTGTCAACGGCGAACACTATATGTCGATGATTATAAACTTCTTTTAGCTTGGGCGACCCTGGGAAGCTGTCTGTCGCCGAAGAAATATCTGGAAATGATCAGGAAAAACTAGGGACATGATTATGGGGCTAGTGGAAACACCTCTATGCAGGATGTGTGAACAGTAAGATGAAACTGTTAGGCATGTCCTATGCGAGTGTCCGGAGTTATCGTCAATAAGAGAGTGTGTGTTCGGCGAGTCTTGGCCTACACCTGCCGATATAAAGGAGATGTTTCCCAGAGACCTGTCCACCTTCCTGGAAAGGATAGGATGGACGACGACCTAGGAGGACAACTCCTCGGGAGGATGTACAATGGNGAAAGAAGTAAAAAACTTGAGGGCCTACAACAAATGGTACAATTTTTTATGAAAATAAACAAGGGTTGGTCCTGGATGATACAACTGATGAGTTAAATAGATGAGCAGAGTATTTCGATGATTTATTAAACGATGGAAAATGGATAGATGCAGGAGGTGATGGAGACAATGAAGAAATTGAAACATAGGTACTGAACAAACAAACATCTAAAACTGAGTTTAATCATTTTTGTTCGATCAGTCTTTTTAGTAATAGCATAGAAATGATCATTCAGTATACCAGTGAATGCCAGATTCCCACGCAAATGAATAAATACAAAAGCGATGTATCAATTCTAGATGACATAACACAAAGCGGTACTCAGATGTTTCAAAAATAATACTTCACCTTTGGGCTTACCCTTAATCTTTGTGCCTCTTCGACGCTGGCTGTCGCATGGTATGACAGAACCTCCAAGATGACCTTCTGTTTCGCCACTGCTGTTGTTGCTTGTTCATACATGCGAGTGTTATGAATGCCCATGCCGCAAAATATTGCGAAAGCTTCGACGAAGTTCTCGTCATTCTTCGTGAACGGGAGATCGTTGAATTTGTTGATGAGCTGAATCACACCGATAATTCGGCCCTTGGAGTTTTTTATCGGCATACAGAGAACCGTTTTGTGTCTGAAGTTGGTGCCTTTGTCTGCGTCTGGATCGAAACGGGGATCTTCATAGACGTTCAGCAGGTTTACTGTCTGTAGAAAATGTAAATTGAAACATTTCAAACGATGAAGAAGTTAGTTTGTAGACGAATAATTGGGTAATGCTTATCAGAAAGGAACCAAGCAATATTTTTGTGAAAATGAGTTTATAGCACTATACAGTGTGTAACAAAGAAAACTTAACACAACCGTTTTTGAATATAAAAAGTAAGATTTTTAAAAAAAGCTCGGACACGTCGATTTCTGATTAAAGGGGGACACCTTTCAGACTAATCAGATTTTTTGTAGTACGCACCCCCTCGGAGGGGTGCGTCCGACGACCCTTATTTAGATAGGGGAAGTAGCACCTTGTTTCAAAGGTCTTTTGAATACCTTTACAACTCTGTTCGAAGAAATTTTTGTAACGATTATTTTTCGAGATGAAGTTAAAATTACCATGTTAATAATACATTAGACAGACCACTCGGTAACTTGTATGCCTAAATAAAAAAATTTCGACCAAAATGCTAATAGAACATACATTTTATTTAACGAGCGAAACCCTGGTAAACACCTAAGCAGAAATCACGTTCTGGATTTGGTCACAAAATTCAGGGAGACAGGTTCGGTTTCAATTAAAAAAAAAGAAATGTTCAGAGAAGGGTAGTAAATGACGATAATGCGATTGGAGTGATTGGTCAAGTCATCGCCAATCCCAGGTTAAGTACCAGAGGTTTATCAGCAATGGCCGGAATGAGCCATATGAGCGCATGGAGAATCCTTAAAAACCACAAATTCCATTCTTAAAAAATTAAACTTGTTCATGAACTCAATGAGGATGATTTTGACCGAAGACAGGAGTTTTGTGAGGGCATGAGTGAGAGATTAATGCAAAATCCCGCGCTGCTTTATAACATCTGTTTTTCGGACGCTTTTTAATCTATTGTTGACAAATTAATTTGCAAGTAGTGGTTCCACTAGTTAATTACCTAAAAATCAATTAGGATAATCATCATTTAACAAACAAAGTCCACATCGGACCAAAAAACTTTAGGTATATAAACAGCTAATCCTTGTCTTTAGATTCAGTATCAATTTTCTTCTCCTGAAGATGCTAACCTTGTTAGCGAAACGCGCGTCGAGTGCAAATATATCAGTTTGATCTCTAGAAAAAGTTTTCAAAACTCGGTTTGCAAAACCACTCACTACCTCACCTAACCCCACGAACACACGGCACTGATAAAGAAATATTGTGAAATGGACAAAACATTAGTATTCAGCCAGTCCAGCTAGCCGAGCCTTTATTCCTCAACTACATATGATAGCACGTTTACTAACTATCTTGGCGACTGGGGGCCACAGGCAAGAAATGTTTATGACTTTACTCTTATTTTTATTGCCATTCCAATTGGGAATGGATAGACTATACAATTTTTTTAGTAACCCAAAACTACAAGTTTTCAACTTCAAAACTGACGAAATTCAATACAATTTTTAAACCCCTATTTTCCCCCTTTGGGGGTGAAGATTCCTGATTCCATTTCTTGATGCTTATTTACGCTATACAAAGAACCTACCTGCATATTTCAAGATTCTAGGTTCAGTAGCTTCGGCTGTACGTTAATATAAGAGTGCCAGTCAATCAATAGGTACCCACTTATACGATATTGAATAACATCAACAAAAAAAATGAAAGGATTAGAATGAAATACATTGATAACCCTACAACATTGTCAAGTTAATGGAATCTGCAATATAATTTTATGGTATAATGAGAGTTGAGTCACAAATAACGAATGGTTTAACAGGAATATTCATTATCGCTGGCAACAAGAAAATTCCTTTCTATATAAGGCTAAGAAGGATTTAGAGTTAATGTTTGGTGTGCTAGATATCAAGATTATAGGTCCCTACTTTTTACTACATCTTCGACTGGGTAATTATATTTGGAATCCTTGTCTCAGACTCTAGTTGAGTTGTTTAGAGATTTGCCTTCAAATATTCTAAGAAAATATCAGCATCTCCAATATGATGGAGCTTCGCCACATCGAAGTACTCTTTGCAGAGATTTTCTCATTATCAGTATGCCAGGACGATGGATAGATAACAATGGTCCTATTAAATGGCCACCACGTTCACCTGACCTGACTCTTCTGGAATTTTCATTGCGCAACTTTATTGAAAACAAAGTATTCGGCCCAACCCCTTGGCGATATTGATGAAGAAACAGTGAGATATTGTTAACGAAATTTTTTCGTGATTTTTGACAACATTCAACTCCTCAGTTCGTTAATGGCCTCCGGAAGGTTATTGTATTGTTTATCATTTTGATAAATGGGTCCAATGAATTTATGCTGTTTTGAAATTCATATGTTTTAAGAATAAATGAGTTTAAAGAATTAGGAAAACCACATAGATTGAATCACTAACTAAAAGTTATTTTCAATTTCTAGAAAAAATTGAGAAGAATCAAACTCACCTCTCCTGTCGTTGCCACATAACCCGTGATTCCTATATTGATTGGAAACCGTCCCTCTAATGGACTGAAAGAATGAAAAATGATGAAAATCACTCAGCATTATTCAACTTTTAGCATTATCTTTCAAATTAATATGAACTGAGAATTATTGACTAAGTACAATAATTTGAATTATACTCAGTACAGTTTACAGTACAGTATTCTTGTATTTGCATCTACAATCGAAAAGCCAATTTGGATCTGCACACCATTTGAAATAAAAAACAACTTGAAATCCTGAATATAATAATTTATATACCTACTTATAAGAGGCCTGTTCGAAAAATAAGGCGAATAGAAAATTTTTGATGCTCCTTTTAGATGCAAACGGAAATAAAAAACCACATCTGAAACAACTACTTTCCATAATGAAAACATCACTTTTTTATTCGCTATATTTCCAAAGAAAATTCATGGATAAATGAAAGGATATTGAAATGAAATGTTCTCAATCTCAAATTTTACAAAAAATAGTTCGTTATTATTAATTGTCTCCAATCTCAAATTGTACAAAAATTTTTTTAGATGTTTTCCTTTCTTTATATTTTAGTATAGAAGTGAAAAGCCAGAAATGTTTTGATTTCATGAGATATTTACCTGGTCCTACTTTCTCCTGATTCTATTATGTTCACATCACTTTCTTCAAAGTCAAAAACTCTTGAAAAGCTGGCACTCGAATCTTTGTGAGTGAGAAGGATCTGAAATATATAAAAAACAATGTTAGAATCCGGTGTGTATCACTCGTTCCATCTTTGGCAAATTTGTTAGTTGTTCGACGCTTTTACTGATCTTGGGAGAGTGAAAATGTGAGTTCCTTCTACAACATTCTTCGTGAATTAAAGTATTTTTATTGCTAGACGCATAAATTATTGAACAATTGAATCCAACTGTGATAATTGGCTGAACATTGAACTCAGATGAATCTTACATAAACATGGTGGTACTTTGACAATACGGCACCATCAGTGTTTGTATCATATTTGAATCTCTTCGCGGAAACAGCAAAATTACACGACTGGAATTTTATTGATATACAATAACTAGAAAATAACTCACAATAACTAGAAAATCCCCACTAGACGAGAGTAGGAAACCATATAATTGGTCCCTTTTTCATTGGGAGCTACTAGAATGGCGATAATTATTTGGCACTACTTGAAAATTATGTCATTCCAAATTTAGCAAATTTATATCCTTATCCAGGAAGCCCTCAAGTTCCAGTGAATACGACATGGTTTCAGCAGGATAAAGTACCACCACATTACATTAAGTTAATGTCCGGCAATACCTCGATACCACATTTTCCACTCGGTGGATAGGGAGGCGAGGATCGATTGAATGGCCAGCGCGATCACCTGATCTTCCATCATTAGATTACTTTTTATGGGGATATGTAAAAATCAATGTGAACAAAACTGAACCTTCAGATTTGAACGGCTTAAACGACTTAAAAAAACGAATAACATCTACTTTAACATTCATATTTCTTTTTCGTATTCTACATTTCATCACGTTTTGCATTACATTTCAGTTTTTGAGTGTACTTTGCAATAAACTTGAAAGCGATAACATATTTGAATAGAGAATGAAGGGACCTTTCAAACGATATATCATAAACCTATAATTCCCATTTAAAAATTGGGAGTTGTTCTGTTATTCGAAGGGGGTTAAAGGTAAGCTTGGCATTTTCACGTTGAAGAATGTCAAATTATAATTTGCATTAGACGTGTTTCGGGATTTTTCTTAAATATGTACAGTAACCGAAACAATCAATTTATTCCATTTGGCTTTCATACACTTTATAGGCAATTCACTTACCAACAACATTGAAATTACCAAGAACATTCAAAAATCATTAGATGCAAACAATCAATATGGAAGCATTCCAAAAAATTGAATCCCTCCAATATTAGAAATTGCTAGAATGTTTCTGTTAGTACCTATGTTCGAATTTCAAGATTCAATACAAATGAAAATTAAAATAATCGAATGGTTCTACAAAGAAATATAGTAAAGAAATATGTACTATTGATTTGTTATTCTACGCGAATGCCGAAAAAATAGTGTACGCAGCACGTTCGAAAATTGTTTTTTTGAAATTGTCTAAACTCTTATAATATTTTATTCTCTGCGAGCAAAAATTTACTCTGTTCACAATTCAATTTTTAATCCAAGGGCCAAATTGTCAAGAGAATTTTCATCTCCACTTTTTAAAATTAACTCGTATTAGAAAGATAAGTCAGTTTAGGTACTCTGACTTGTAAATCAAAATTGCACTAGTAATATATAATATATTACTGCGTAAGCAATAATCAAGTAAAATAGGTTATTTTTCTTCAAGAGTTAGTAATATTAGCGCCTTCACCAAATAAGTGAAGGCGACCTACTGCACCATTACAAATTCAATAAAAAATTATGAACCTGCGTGGTTACTTTACAGAAATGTCTCCACCTGCAAATAACCAAATCACTCATTTCGATGGAAAATTCTCAAACCACATAGTTTCGAATCTTCTCGTTTATGCACATCCAGAAGATTTTCCTCGAGAAACCGATGTTCCGTCTTAGTTCCAAAGGCTCAATACCCACACAATTGCGTCATGCCGTACTATTCTATGACAATCTTGTAGCAAGATAATGACGCCCACCACTTAAACCGTAGGATATAGAACGTCGAGTGTAATTCGGTTGGGAAGTGGAATGGAATAAAACGATGAGGTAATTGATGAAATGAAATGGGAAATTATTTCGGAATTCAACCGTATTTGGACGATATTCGCGAATAATTCTAAAGTTTTTTTATTCAACGTCATTTTTTTTTCTCAGAGACGATCGACAGTGCGATGAAATGAGATATGCCATTTTTTATTTATTATAAATTTATCTACAGAAAGGTCTGTTGCTTTTTGTCGTCATATACCAGTTTCCTGGACGAATTTAGAACTGGTGGCCCCTAAAAAGGTATCCAGGAAGGATTGTTCTGCGGTAAAGAATGTAGTGGATTTAGAGAAAATCAAATGGGCTATAAACTCATTCCAAGTATACATAAATCGCCAGGAACACATGAGATTTACCCTGTAATGTGGAACTTCTACTTGAAAAATTGTTTGACAAGTTTGACTATGGAATACATATTGTTTAGGCAAGGCTGACTCCGGAATATATGACAAACACATGGTGAGTCACATTTATTCGGAGGCCTGGAAAAATTGGAAAGGATGTCCTATGTCATTTGAATAAAGTACACTGGAAAAACTATTTGAAAGGTACATTAGCGATATTAAACTGGCTATCAGACTACAGCATCGAGACCAATATGCATGAATGTAAGGTATGTCAACGGAAACGGCTGTATGCCAGGTCACGCCATATAGTAGGGTCAGTGCTGTCTCGATATATCAACTGAATTTCCTCATTTCGAACGATATTTGTTTCAACGAGGCGAAAAATTTCACGACGAATATCGTCTTTTTTGTTAAGTAGATTTTGAAACGTGAAATTAGTCTTCTGAAAACCTTTCTCCTTCACCAGAGGAAAAAGAAACGTCTTCTTTCATGATTGAGAAGGATATCAGCTTGTATCTGCCTGAGGGTGGGGAACGAGTCGTTCTGATAAATTCGGCCTATCCCATTTCCCATAACGGCTACAATATACCCGGAGGCACTACTAATGTCTCATCAATACCAGAGATTCCGCGTTGTATCAGTGGATATACGCCGCATCAATGCTGGACAAGCAAATGGCTGATTCATGGATGAGCCAAGGTCATCATGGTTCTTAAAAAGACCCAAAACATTGGCTTATCCTTATGAAATTGTAGGATTGATATCTGCAGCTTCATAAGGGTTGTTTGCTGAACGAGTACCCAACAAGAGTTCTGTTCACCACGGTCAGTGTCAAAAACCAAGTTGAGCTCATCGACCTCTTAGGTACCTTCTTGAGAAAAATCTAATAGCCCTGCTTTTTCGGAGTCTTGGACTATTTACAGGAGGAGATCCAGACTGCTGAGACTATACAGGCTTCAGTCAGAACCATTATGTTACGTTGGTACGAAATCTACGACATTCCAGTTGTAGTAGAATGTGTAACCAGAAAGGTATGATTTGGTATGCAAACTTCCATGAAGGTGCATTACTTTTCGTGTCTTCATGTTGAGTTGGTACAGCTCCACTATTCAAAAAATTAGAGCAAAATAAGAGGGTTGGGTATATTTGCAGAAGAAAGTTTGTTGCTCCCCGAGCTCATTATAGTCATTACTTCTTGGTTGCGGCGTTGTTCTATTCAGAGGTAAGTATTCGTCTATCCTAGGTTTGTTTTGGTTCTACGATATTCAGGTTCTAGGACGTCAGGATCATGCGGAGGTGATATAGAGCGTTCTGGTTCATTGAGAATAATTTCGGATTGATGAATCCCCTGTTCTGGTATCGACTGCGAAATGATCCTAAACTGTCTTGGACCGTCCCGAATCGTTCTTGGTCTCGAGGCTGAGCTGTGGAGAACTGTTCCCGTTGCTCATGCGCATTCATGTGGAAATTTGTTTGGGTTATTTTCTAGGATGTTTTTTCATTTATTTGATTTGAATAATTGATGATTGAGGTTAGATAACATAAGGATACGCTGCATAACAAAATGGACATGATCAACATTATTTTCTCATATTCATCTCTTTCATATATACGATAGATGGCACAGTGGTCTCCTCAAAATGCGTTCTGGGTCAACCAAGTGCCCGAGACTATTTCGTACTGTTTGAGATGGGGCAGGATTCTTCCTTCAACGAGCTGCTCCTTCCCATAACCCCCGCTTCACTCTCTTTCGAATTAGAAATCGAGCTTAATATCCCCCTCGGTATCAATTTGTATCCCAGCGATAACGGCATCGATTTCAGCTTGATATTTGTTTACATGCTGCAATCTTGTTAATGGTACAGCAACTAATTATTGCCGACTAACAACGGTTATTCTGGCGGCGCTTGTATTGCTAGTGAATGGGCAAATATGTCGACGTAAGTGACTCGAGGCGGGGAAAATTGCGTTATAATAATTATCTTTCTGCGTGGGTGATAAATTATATCTCTGGATAATGATTGCATGTAGAATATCAATAAAACAGCTTTTAGACAGGGCACAGCTTGACTGAAGTTGCCTGGAGTTTCCTCCGACACGTGAATGGAAAATTATATTAGGTTGGTTCAAAAGTTTTGTAACTCCATATCTCAATGAATATTCATTCTACTATGTCGTGGTATATACTGATCAACAGAGAATGTTGTACTCTATACATTGATGCTGTTTATTTTTTCCAAATCTTAATTTTTTGTCTCTTTTTAGCTTATTAACATGTGATTTTTGGCCAATTTTTATACGTAATCAAACTTAACCAATGCGTTGTCAAAACAGCTGCTAAATCTGGCATTTGGCAATATTAAGTGTTGATGATCGCACTGTATAACGAATATTTTAGCCTCGAAGATGAGCCCCAAAGTGGTCGACCTACCCATCACAAACGATGCATGGGATGGCGGAAGAACTGGGCATTAGCTTCTATGCGGTTTTTTATGGTTAAAACGTAATGAAAAGATCAAAAACCTCGAAAAGTGGGTGTCCCACGATTTGAACGATCAACAAAAATTGTCACGTGTCGAGGTCTCTTCCTATTTGCTCTTGCGCAACCAAAACGATTATTTTTTTTGATCGGA